TGTGTGTGTGTGTGTGTGTGTGTGTGTGTGTGTGTGTGTGTGTGTGTAACTCACCTCAGTCTCCCCAAGAATAGAAACACAGTCAAGTGATTTATTTTGAATGAAGTCAAATGGAATGTTGGCACGGAGCTGTAAACAAAAGGAGGAATTTTCATGAGGCAGCCCAACCGTCACGTAATGTCTTATTTTAGAACCAAGTCTGCTCGTGTGTGAGAGGAAGTCACACAGATTTATTTTCCCACGTTTCTGTGCTGAAGTGACAGTTTTTGAAACTGGTCCAGTATTGAGGGAGAAGGCTGCAGACGGAAGCCGCTAAACCGGCTGCAATGTAGTCCTTCTGGGCAGACCCTCACCGTCAATGTGTTGTCTTTTCCACTAGCAGGCTCACATGATAAGTGTTTCTATACAACATTATCGAAAAGGCTACAGAGAAATGAAACCACTTTCTTTACCTTGACCCGGTCTGTTTGAGTTTGTTGTGTTGGAGGACAGAAAGCTTGGCTTAGTGTTCGCTAAAAGGTTTCCATTGTCACGGATGAACATTGAGCTGATTTCAACAATGTGGATAAGACGCAATATTTCAGAACAAGACTTGAGCGAGACTCACAGTAACAACAAAAAGTGAAAAGTAAGTCTTTGTAGGATTCTTTCCATAACGTTGTAGAGTAACAATCAGAGCAGTCAGTGGAAAAAACAAGTGACTATAGTGGCCATACATTGACTGGATACATTGCAGCCCGTTTAGCTCTCCTTCAATACTGGACCAGTTTTGAAAATTGTTGTCCCCAAGACACCAAGCCATGGGAAAATAGGGACCAGGTTTAAAAAGTAAGTTTGCCTTTAATCGATAGTGAAAGTAATTGTGAGCGGCATGAACACAGCGTTGGACTGCAGGTGTGTAACGCTGCTCTCTGCCCACAGGGACCGGCCCAGCGCTGCAGAGTGCATGAGTCACCCCTGGCTGTGGCAGCTCTGTCTGAGCCCCGAGCCGGCCCGCACCGTCCGCGAAAGGAGCTGCGGCACCAAGTGGACAGCCCCACCCGAGGACCCCGAAGACAAGGAGAACTTCCTGGAGTCGCCCCACTCTCATGCAAAAAAGTTCCGCTTCGACGAGGAAAGGCCCGCCGCTGGAGACGGCGACTTTTGAAAAATTAATAAATAAGCAAAACAAAAACTGGGAGGAATCGAAGTTGGGGGGGGGGGGGGGGGCCCCGCTTCTCCCATGTCAGCTTTTAAATTATTTTAAAGCCTCCAGAAAACCAGCTGTCGCCACTCAAAAGTATATGTATCTCACTAATTTGCTAAATTCCAAGATGGACCACTCAGACCAAAGATAACCAGCTAAATTGTGAGACCTGTCACTGATCCATCGCTGTTAGAAAAAGGAAGTGTGAAAATTGTACAGTATGTCTCAATTAATGCAGTGTGTTTAACCTGAAGTATTTAATTCCTTTCATTGTTGAAATCTCTGGTAGTTTCAAAGTGCTGCATCAGCTCCACTCTGTTCTTCCTGTACTGAAGAACTATCTTCTGAAAATCTATCTTTTTCAAGTTCACAGCGCTCTGCCTTAAGTCTTAGTGTGACATCGAGATCGGCACCTCTGCAGTGAGGAAGTGTGACGACGTCCTGGTTTGCATGTTGAAGAGAATCAGAGACAGCTGCACAGCATCACGGTAACCCTTTTCACTCCGATGTTTGGGTCATTCCGTCACTAGTTCAGTGAAAGTGGATAAAACGAGCTGCTGTCTTTATGTCATAGCTCCGTCTCTCTGTATTTCACATCCAAGCTGACTTAGACGAGCAGCAGAGGGGCTGAACTACACACAAGCACATTACTTCTCACTGACGTGTTTTATATGTCTGCAATAATTCAGATTTAGCTCAGGGTTTTAGATAGAACTCAGTTTTAATAGGTCCGACCTTAGCATAGTCCCCTTCTGAAGAAAGCCCCCCACATGTACAGACATTGACAAAACACGGTTTCACACCGGCAGCACATCCTCATGGCATCCTTCTGCAGTGAGATAGAAACTTAAAAACTGGACCGGCTGAGAAAGAAAGCAGCAAGAAGAACCCTGTGATTCCCGCAGTCGTTCATATGCTACACCCGCACTTACTCTATGATTTCCTCAGCGAGCTGCAGGTTCCTCTTTGTTAGCCGGAAGAAGAGAAGCTCGACTTCAGCACTTACTTTTTAAGCACACGTATGGTATACTGATCAGCAAAGGGAAAACTACTCATGACGCTGTGTTTTCCTGTTCTTCAGAGGTTCCCTGTGTGTTTCAGTCCCTCGCCCTAAAGCCATTCAGTGTCCTTTCATTCAAAGCTACTCCTGCCGAGAGAGAGAGAGAGAGAGAGAGAGAGAGAGAGAGAGAGAGAGAGAG